TGTTTTGTCTCACCAAAGCTGCTGCTGTATTTCAGCCATCTTGCACCTTGCATGGGTATACAGGATTTATTGCTGGGTGTGGAGCAAGGGGCTTAGTCAGGAAATCGTGTTTCTTCATGTGAATTTGTTCCTGTTCTCCATGCCCTCTGACAGACACTCAGCCTGCAGCCCATTATGCATTGGTTACCTCGCTCTGCTGGTGGCTATTGAGCCACGAGCTGTGGTTCTGCCAGAGCTCATCTGGCTGCGAAATCATCACAGCAGTGTCAGAGATCTTATATACACCCAGAAGCTCCTGCCTTTCTAAAGCCACGTCCATAGTTTCTGATAATCTAACAGGGCTTATTGTTGACTTGGATGGTGCTTGCAATATTTATGAATCCATTTATCACTGTTGTCAGCATCATCAGCTTATCTTTCAATTTTAATGGTAGGCTTTGGTGTGTTTGTTCCTTGGCATCATCAAAGCTAAAGCCGTGAAATGGGAATGAAGGAACTCTTAAGTGTGGTTTCTACATTATGAAATCAGTTGCAGATCGGTTTCTAGATTTCAGGGAACTTCTCAAGTGAGGAAACGTGTCAGAAGTGATTTCTCCCACCTTGTCGGTCGGTCCCCGTATCCCCAGGGAGCACACGGGCAAGGAGGAGCATGGCAGCAGCTCTCTGGCTCCCTGCTCACTCTCTGCAGTGCTGGTGGAGGTCTGCTCGGCTGCTCTGGAGACTGGAGCATCCCTCATTTCAGTGCTGGCAAGGATGTGGTTTGCAGTACATTTTCCTGCCCTTTCTGCAGGGAGCTGCCTTTGTTCTGCCTGTGATCCAGGCACCATCCTTTATTTCTCAACAGTTTTGTAACTCAAGATATGAGAAGAAGAATGATTGAAAGGATTTTCTACAAAAAATACGTGGCTATTGACTATTGGTTTGCTGCACAGGAATGGAAGAGCCTTCAAAACCCGAATGCTAATACAAGTGTGCATAGGTGAATGCTGCTTGCATTTTTGACAGACATGAGGTGGTATTTAAGAGGATTGTCTTGCTCTTGTCTAGAAAGAGGGGTCTAGCTGCAATCTAATAACTCGGGCAGCGGACAAGGAAGGAGTAAATTGTATTTGTTACAAATTACCGGAGAAGCCTATTTGTCCTTTATTAAGCTTCAGAGGCAGAGCGACTCCAATTGAGGGAAACGTATAATTCTACCTGTTAATATGTTCTGTTACCAGAATTATGGTATTGAGCCTTTAAGATCATCTGTGACTTCTATTAATCTCCTGGCAGCTTGCAGAGCATGAGCAAGCACTGTAGGTGTGAGGACCAACGCACAGGATATGTTTGCTGTCTGCCCTCTGATCTGTGTGAGGCACACGGCTCACGTCTGAATGGAATTCAGTTGAGAAAGAATACATGCTAAGTGAAATGCAAGGGTGACATTTGGGGACAGATCTCTTTGTGTGTTTGTGGCATCCAAAATCAGTCCCCTTATTTTCTAATTATCTGGAGATGCCACTTAGAACTGTAGCCCCAGCCGTGTTTGTGACCTACATGCGAAAGCCAAGGCTGAGTTTTTGGGGTGGCAGGAGGTTGCTGCCATTTGCCCACCTTCTGGCTCTTGTTCTTACTGTTGCCTCCTGATATTCAACTGCTTTCCTCCCCTTCTCCAGGCAGAGCTGTGAGTGAGGTGTGTTCCCTTGGGACGTTTTCATCCATGCTGCCTGGTACTTGGTACTCAGATGCACTAACCAAATTGGCCTGCTGGCACATGGATCTGAATTAAAGGTTTTCTCTGTTAAGGTATCTACCAGTATGAGCTAGATTACATCCCCCAGGAGAGCAAGGACTTTGCAAAATCCTTCAGTATTGGCCTAATTCTGTTCTCTTAAAAAGTGAAATTCATAGCAAATTCATCCGCTGACATGCCAAGGCAATATTAGTGTAATGCTAAGATGATTCCACAAGATGAACTCATATGTAGGACAGCCAGCATGGCAGGATGTCTACATCAGCATTATCTGGAGCTTTGTGCATCTTGCTCTCAGAGCGAGTTTCCGTGGGTGGTTTGTTGCCCGTTGAGTTCAAAGCGGTTGGGCTGCGTTCAGCCCAGCCAACGCAGCAGGAGCCTCTGTCACATAGAGGGGCGTTTGGGTTAAGAAATACATGTCTGCAAAAAGAGGAGGTAACTGCAAAGTTGAACTGCGGATTCACCATGAGATTTGTCCCTCTGTCTTAATTCCAAGCTGTTTAAGCTTTTTCTTTCTCACTACAGCTCCCAGATGTCTGAAAAGGAAGAGGGAATTAGTTTTTACAGCCGTTTCTACTACAAGCTATTAGCTTAGAAGGCAGGATGTCCAGTTCAGATCCACAAGGCTAGCCCCAGCGCACCGTGTGACTTACAAGGATGTGAATGGAAGGGCTGTGGAGTGTCTCGTCACTGCAGCTGCTGGCAGCTGTGGTGGAGCACAGGCACTCCAGCCGGCCCTCCTGTGGCCTGCGATCTCCAGGTTGTTTTAACTGAGGCGATGTGACGTTCTGAGAGGGCTGCCTGTTCCTTCATTCCTCATGTTTTTTGAAAACCTTTATTGCAGCTGATGCAAAAAGAAAGAAAATCATAGTGGAAAGGGGAAATATGCTTCCCTAAGTACCGTGTTTCCCTACATTGCTCAAGCTATTCCAGATTTCTTCTCTTTATATACGTAACGCTTCTTAAATACTGCCATAATATTTGTCCATTCTTGCTGTTTCTCTGCCAATTTTTAAATTGCCTGATTAATTGAAGCCCATGGTATGCTAATTAAATGACAGAAAAACAGCTAACCTGGTGGTAAGAGGCACACCTGTGTGTGCTGTCTGTGAACCTGAGCTGTATGGCAGATGCTCACTGCTGAGCACAAAGATGCATTGTGTGACTCACTTGCACTGTTTCTACTACCATTATAAACTCTGAGGGCACTTGATGAATAACAGGGAGTCAAGAATGAATTCATCCATGTTTCACTCTGTAACCATCTATTATAAATACTGAGCCAAATTCTGCCTCCAGATACACAGCTCTCATTGAAGCCTGCCCACTGTATTTATTTTTAAAGATAAAAGCACTTCTGTTAGTTTCACAAAGGACTTCTGTGACACGGTCCATTGTAAAGATGTGAATATCCTTCCTCAAGAGCTCGCAGTGGGGCAGGGAGCGTCTGCCTGGAACAGGGCACTTGAGAGATAACAGCCTTTGAGCTGTGATGGTGGGATAACAACCATTGCCTCCATCCAAATGAGTTTCAGGAGCACGTTTCGCCATGCTCACGCCTTACTCCCTAAGGAGGCAGCGGGTTTCTCTCATGTAACCCTGGGCTGAGCTGCAAAATGCACTGCACTGGTGAAGGGAAAGCTGAGCTGGGTTTAGGTTGATTGGTTGGTTTGTTTTCTGAGCTTCTTCGAAGGATGAAGATGGAAGTCTTGCCTTGTATTCCCAGAATAGGCTTTGTTCAGCCCTCGGAGCATGTTAATGGTGGCTAGCAGGGGCACATCTCAGGGTCACCAAGCTCTGTGTCGCTGCTCAGCCCACTGTTTTTGTTGCAGCTCGAAGGAACATTGGGCTGGAATTTTTACCTGCTCCTGCAGTCTCTGTGCAGTCAGTTATCCCCGGGGGAATGGTGCTGGTGGGGGTAGGAACAGGGCTGCACTTACCAGAACAGCAGGGCCCCTCCTTTTTGGGGTGGAATTATTGTTTGTGTCACATATTTATTGTGAATGAAATCTCATATTCATGATTCACCATGACTTTTTAATTTAAAGCAACTCTGAAAGCCATTGTATCTGATCAGAAGGGGGTTGAGTTATCAATTGTGAATAATTGTCAGTCAAGCAATGATAGTCTTTCATTGTGTTTAGATGCTTTCTGCAAACTGACCTGGCTCCTTGGATACTGTTGTTCCTTTGTGATAAGTTTCTTGATTCAGTGCCCTCGGAACATATGCACTGTGCAGTTCTTCTCTAGACTGCTCAGCCTTTTGTGACACATGGCTGCTTGACTGCATTCAGCTGATTGCTTTTAGATGCTTTTTTTCTTCCAGGAAGAAAGAACTGCAAGGCCTGCTGGATTTCGCTTCGATGTTGCTTAGGTCAAGCCTTTCTTTCCCTAGATTCACCTTATTATCAAAACACAGATTACTGTATGCTGCCTTCCTAGGCTACCTACTGGGCTGTTTTTCCACGAGGCACAGCCCGAGCCTGGGGCTCATACAGTGGCTTCTTTTTCTGGCATGGGCTAATTAACAGGAGTGGAGTACATGTGTAGTAGCAAATAATGGTTAGTTTTGTTTATGTATAAATACTGATAGTCATTGGAGAATGCAAATGACTCTATGGGAAACAAATGTCTCCCACACACTATTTTGGACAAAAAGGGAATGAGTGTGATTGCTCACCCGGCTGCATGCAAGAGGGATGCACACAGGTTCAGGCAGTTGGTGAAGCCAGTGCATGTTCTCAAGTGTTGTCTCTGTCACAGCTCACAGCAGGCCGCACGTACCATAGAGGAGGAATCCTGTGGCTGAAGAGCTCCCTGCTCTGCAAAAGCCAAGTTCACAACTGCAACAAAAATGTTAACAGTGGCTTCACATCTTTAAACTGTTATTGCATTCCCCCTGTCACCCAGGAAGATGTCATTGAGTTCTGATGGCAATTCACATCTCATTAATTGGGTCAACATTTCACTGTATTTAACGAGTTAAAATCAGATTAACAGAAGAGCAACCTGTGCTAATAATTGCAAGGCACTTGGGAGCCAGAGTGGATTTGACCCATAACTTCGATCGCTCGTGGTTCCTTTTGGTTTCCAAGCAAGTTCACTCACAGCTGGGCCAGGCAAGAGGACACTTGTTCATTTAAGCCGTCTCTCCTTTGCAGGACGCCAGTTTCTGGTACCAACCCTGAGCTGTGCCTGGTGGCTGACTGTTGTCCGGGCATAGTCGTCCACTCGGCTCTGATCTCTCCTGCTAATGTCGTTACAGGACAAGTGGTGAAGGAGAGTAGAAATGGCAGAGGATAGGAAAGATGAAGCCAAGGCACCGCACTGGACTTCGGGTCAGCTAACAGAGGCTGCTTCGCACCCACACTCACCTGAAATTAAGGAACAGAGCAGCGCGGGTGCCGGACTGGTCAGAAGTGCCAATGGGTTTCCCTACCAAGAGGGCGAGGAGCCTGGGCTGGGCAGCCGGGAGCAGCCGGGGACGTATGCTCGCAGCAAAGAGAATGGAATCAATGGAGAGCTGTCGGCAGGGGACAGAGAGACAGCAGGTAACGTGCCGCGGTGCTCTGCAGCTGAGCCAGGGCTTTGCTGCCTGTGGGAGGACATCTGCTGGGGATGGGCTAGGGCAGAGAAGATGCTCGGGCCTGGCGGCAGGAAACCGCTCAGCTGTTGTGCATTGATACAGCTTGTTCTCGTGTGTGCATGCACAAAGGATGGTCTCTGCTGTTACTGCTCACAAGTAATAACACCTTCTGTATGTCCACCAGCTATGTGCAGAATAACGCACCGCTCAGCCTGGCCATAAATACTGCAATTCAGAGTCAGCATTTACTGGCCTTTCCCTAGGCAGGTTTCGCAGGATGCCCGCTGGAGTTTTGTCTATTTGTAAACTGTGTTAGGGCTTTAGCATTCCGCTTGTTATGGGGAGCTGGGGGGAGGAAGCGTGAGTGTGTAAAAATGAAATATGCAAAGCAAGTTTCCTGCTTTAGAAATAAACGCTAATTCACTCTGTGCAGATTTCCCTCCTTAAAGCCCAGTTGTGCAGTGCAAGGGGAATGTCTCTTGTACCGGCAGTAGTGCCCTCGGCGCATCCATCCATGCATGCTAAAGAGATCTCTCTAGCAATGTTTGTTGGCTGTTGTCAGCACTTTGAGATACTATCCGTAATTTCTCAGCAGCAGGAGAATCTTAAGGCTCTCAGACCCTAAAGTCATTTCATAAGCAATTCTAGTGGAAATGAATATGTGCTAAAAGAAAACAGGTTTGGATTTTAAGAGTCTCTTCTTGTGTATAGCTGAAATGAGAAAGCCAGCGATAAAAGAAATCCCATGTAAGCATTCAGGTGAACAGGTTATTGGTAACTGTTTGCAATGATGATAACAAGATCTCTTTCCTTCATTTTAACCTAACTTTGAACTGTTCTTAGCCAGCAAATATGCAGGAGCAGTCATACAGGACTTGAGAGGTAAGATGTGCAGTTGTTACAGATGGGCTTGAGCTGTGGGAAGATGTGAAAGCGATTTTTCACAGAACGTTCTGCAGGCACACCCATACATATGGAGAAGTACTGATTACAGAAGGAAGGGGATTGGCCTTTTCTTTATAAAAGAAGAAGTACTCTTCTCAGGTGCTCTTAAGCTGAGGCAACGTGTGGGGGACCTGATTGTTTAATTGAGGAATTAGGAGCTAATGAGCGAGAGGAAACAGGGATCCAGTGCTGCCCATCACTGGATGTTGTTGTAGTGTGTTTTTACTTTGCTTTCTGAGGTGAAGGATGAAACAGCAAAACAGACCAGAATGAGGCAGCAGGACTGGAGAAACGCACTTGCCAAGAGAGCAAGGCTGCTGTCTTGGTGCAAAGTCTTCTTTGATCACCACTTTGTGGCCTCATTTCCTCCTCCCCTGCTTTTTCTCACTATCTGCTTAGATTGCAAGATCTCTGGTGTGGGGACTTACTGTCAATCCATACAGTTACTGCTAAGGAGTTTTATTATAGCTTACTTCATGGCATCTTTATCCTTGAACACCAAAAAAGTCCCTAAAACTGCTTGCATTCACGCATGAATTTCTGGTTCTCTGGAAATTCATGTCCTTGAGCTCTGACTTAGAGGACTGTCAGTGCAACATAAAACACACTAGGATACAGAAGATATATATTTTTTAATCATTTCACTCTTTTTAAAGGCCAGACCTGTCAGCAGTTCAGGGCAGTGGCAGAAACAGAAAGGGTCATGTGTTCCCAAAGCCACATTGGTATTTGCAAGTGGGATATACAGCATCACAAAGCAAGTTTGATTCAGAATTTGATCTTGAATCAGGATTGCTGTTTGCCACCAACCTCGGCCATCTTTGCAGTGTTGGCTTATAAACTGTTACTGCTGTGGGGTACTGTCAGATAGGGTGTTTAAATGTCACTGTGATACACATAATTACCAGTTATGCAAATCATGTAATCACTTGTAGTAGCTTGCTGACTCCAAACAGATGAGGAGAAAATGCACAGGAAGCCAAGGTCGACTGAGATAATTAAGCTGAACTGTGGGTTTGTGTGGATTTACAGGAGTTTTATTTTCTCTGATGTAAATCCAGAACCATAACCTAGGCTTCTGTGGCATCTCAGCCTTTGTGTCTGAGTCCATAAATCTCCTCCAGCAGCAACAGCAAGCTCATTGGAAGTGGAATACAGGTATAAGCAGGGCATTTCCCTGCTGATCAGAGTCTGGCTGTGTTTTGAGGCATTTCAGCTGAGGAAGCTCCCCTGCTCTAAGTGGCCCACCAGCAAGAATTCTTCCATGAAATGGGCAGTGCCTCACTGCCCTGGGGGCATTGCAGAGCACCATAGTGGCCATTTGCAGGGTTTGTGCTGTACAGTCTGTGGTAAGGGGAGGGTTAGAGTTAGTCACAAGGGCACAGGCACCTTTGCTAATGCTGATGTGGTGCTGAGTGGTGGTAGTGGCAGAGGAGATTACAGTTCTTGCTAAAATGCACTCGATCCATCACTGCAAGTGACGTTTTTAGGTTGGCACAGTTAAAATTTACCTTCCTATTTGTGTGTAGCTTCTCTTGGCATCTGTCTAGGAGTTACTGAATCTGACCTCAATTTTGGAATCCTCTGAATTTAGCTGCTGCTCTGCCTTTGATCGATCTGGCTCTGTATCTCGCTGGTAATGGTTGCATTATGAAGGCACATCAATGCCCTCCTTTCAGACACCCAATGGGAGCAGGGACTGTGCCCTGTGTGTGGGCAGGGTGGCCTCGGGGCCTGGGCTGGCACCCTCTGAAGTTGGAGGCTAATATATGTGAGAGAAGAGGCCCAGTTTATTGGTGTAATGCATAGGGAAGCAGTTATGGGTGTGACATAAAGAGGAGTGGTAAAGCAGCTATTCGTTTTTATTGTGCGTATGTGTGTGTGTGTGTGTATATATATGTTTTCATACTGAGGTTGTCCTGGCCACCCAGCTCTACCAACCACAAGACCCACGCTGCTCCTAAGGAGCTCCTGAAGACACCTTGCCTTTGGGCAGCATGCAGCTCCCCGCTTAGTTTTAATGTGCTCTCCCTGATCCCTCCATGTTCATACTCACCTCCCATACACATCTGCAGTGAGCATTTTGGAAGTCTTAATGGTGGGGGATGAGAGCTGTAGCTCTCGTCAAGCCAAACATTTTCATGTCACGTGAGATACGTACTGCAAACGAGGCACTGATAGCGTAATCTTCTGGAGCTCACTGTGATAGGGAAAGCTTTGGATTGGGCCGTGGTAGATCACAGGATGTGTTTGACCTGTAACAAAAAATGAGTGTGGCAGCCTTTTCTTTGCTTGCTGAAAAGTCCTGGTCAGCCAATCGGAAGGAAGCAGTGAGGAGCAGTAGATGCACTTCACCAGTGTTTGGGAACTAGCAATTCAAAGCTGTCCATCATATTTGACTTGCAAGGAGCATCAAGCTGCAAAGGTTTGTTTTTCTACACTTAAAATGCATTTCTTGTTCTTCTCATTAGTGAAATGACTAATCTGTCAAATTTATATGATTAGGGGCTGTATTGTGAAGCATCTTCTACAGTGTATCTTTAAGTACAGTGACTCAGCTTTCTGCATTATACATCAAATGCAGGCTTAGTATTGGAGGGGGTTTGGATTACCCACACAGCTATCTGATTTTTTTCTTTGGACAGATTAAAGGAAAGCATTCCTATTATCAGAGCATCAGGACAGTGGCTCTGTCCTCATGTCAGTCATATATTAAGGACAGTAACACGTCCTGCCAGAGTAACAGAGCCCTTCATGTGTCAGCAGAGTACCCAGACTGTGTGGGATGCAAAAGGACTGCTGGGGAGCTGTAGCAGGCTTCATGACACAGCACAGAGAACCAGGCTGAGTGCTCACACATTGTTTTTCAGAGCTCTTGTGTCATTGGAATGGTGGATGTGGTGGAGGCCGGGCCAGATAAATGAGAGGCTGGAGGCTGGGGAGAGCAAGAGGTTGGTGTGTGTTTGTAAGTGAAACAGGAAGAGAAGAGAGCCCTAGGCTCTCTAGGGAGCAGACTTTGTGTGGTGAGAGTGAGAACAGATGTGAGCAGAGCTGGTGAGATGTAAGGTGTGTGAGAGTGTGGCAGGGACAGGAGGTGGCAGGGAGAGAAGGAAGAGTTGAAGACAAGGACAATGGAAAGTGCTTCAATTTTATCAGTTATCCTGAGCCAGCACATCCTTTGTGTAACAGCAGATATTGCCCCAGAGAAGAGGAGGTTCAGACAACATGCAATGGCACAGTCCATACAGAACAACCAAGAGGAGGAGCAGGAAGGGGTAATTGATGTTCCAGCCCTTGGTGTAGTTTATCTAAGTTCAGCCATTTGTTTTAGGCTTTGTTGAGCAGACTAAATGAGCATCTGCAACAAATCTGTTCCTGTGACCAACTGCTCCTTAAGTAAGTATATTTAAATAAGCTGCAGAGAATGTCAGCCTGAAAAACTGCCCTGCCGTAGTCAGTGAACAGATGAGCAGAGATGCTAAATTCCCTGTTAGGTTGGCTGTGCAAAAGAGTCATGGTGAAGGTCAGGATTATGCATGTTTCAGCTGCCTGCAGTGCAGCAGAGAAACAGTCTGTATGCTACCATCTTCCATAGCCTCCATCGGTCCTCACAACTGCTGCACTGTCAGGAAGTCCCTGTGACACGTACTGCTGCTGGCTCAGGGCACTGAGCCCACCAGAGCTGGGTGCAAGATTGCAGCACGGTGGGTGAAGGCAGCAAGCACAACAGCCTCTCTGTGTAACTGTGCCATGCGATTCACTGCTTTGCTTTGTGATGTGTTCATTTTTTTTTATTTTTATTTTTTGTTATTTCATCTTCTTTTCCTTTGTTTTCCCTTTCTAAGATACAAGCTGTAATACTCAAACGACACTGCCACTGCCAGTAAACATATAAACAGACCTTTGTACGGAGGCCTTTTAGTCTTTCTTCCCAACAACACTGCTTTGACAGAGTTCTTTTTGTTCGCCCTTTGGCACTGGCTGTCCTGCTGCTGCCCAAGTCCTTCAGGAGACCCCAAG